AGCATCTTAATCTTATTTAAGTTTTTTTTACAATTTTCAAGTTGATCATTTAACGAATAAGGGAATTGTTATCAAAGTACTACTTTGCAAAATAAAAAACACGATAGCTTAAATGTAATTTCGTATTTTTAAATATTTCATTAAACTTAAAAAAAATTTTAAATATTATTTTATAAAATTTAAACGTTGAGTATAATTCATAATTTAATTTTACTATATTAAAGAATAATTTTGTTGTTGTTTAATAAAAGTACTTTTTTTCATAAATTTTTCATTCGGCTAATGATTGTTAAGTTTAACTAAAATGATTCATTGACAACATGCATATTTATTAATATACAAAATTATAATTAAAAACAGAAAAAAAATAAAATAAAATAATTATTATAAATGACGAATTAGTTTTAATATATTTCAAATAAATTAGTAATAATAGTATCAGCATTCTCATCTATTTATCAGCAGAATAATTTATTTTAATGCTCGAATAACATCACATACTTTATTATTATACATATTTGATTTTTTATCTACATAGAATATACCCATAAATTTTTATTATAACAAAAAAAGAAGAAAAACAATGAAGAAAGTTCATTGTAAATCACTTTGAAACATTCAAGCATTTAACTTTAAAAGGTATAATCAAGTAAATGACGAATAAGTGTAAGTTTGATTCAACGACAACGAACTTGATAATGGATAATAATAATTACGGAAGGCTTAAACAAGTGCTTTAAACGACAATTCTTTTGAACTAATTTAATTAGAAGAACTTTGATAATAAATTAAAATTCTAAACATTTGTAGAACATAGCGACAGTGTAAAAAAATTAGCAAATGCAAGTAAAGGATAATGTAAAGTTTTTTCTTGAATGGTTAATTATAATGCAGACACGCGACTTCACACGGTTTGTAAAGTCATGTGATATATGATGGGAATATAACGGTTGGTGGAAAAGTTTTATTACATACGTTAAATTCTTTCTGTCTTTCTTTTTTGTTTCTTTTTTGGTTTTTTTTTTTTAATATATATATATATATATATATATATATATATATATATATATATATATGTATATATATATTTAATTTACTAAATTTTAAAAAAGTATTACACTTGTGTAATGTAAATTTTCCAACAACTGCTTTTTGCTGAAATTCTCAACTGTATATATATATACATTTTTTTTTTTTTAAATTTTTTTCGTTGATGTGTTTTTTAAGATAATGTACAACTTCTCTTGGCATAAAAGTATCCAAAATTGAGTAAAAATATCTTCAAGTTCGGAGACTGTAATGTATGTATAAGGGAAAATTAGTTCGTTATTTTAAAACAATTTATTGCGTCCTCGTGTATCGTTATCTTTCAATCTTCGTTGTAGATTATAGATATTTCTTATTTGTGTTTCCGTAAAAATAGTCTTTTCTCATGGGATAATGATCTTTGATTTTAAATATGCAAGGCATGAGAGTAGAATTTTTAAAAGTATATTGCATTAAAAACTGTATACATTTGGTGCTTGTAAAATACGTTACTAGTATAATTCAGATAATTTAACGATCTCGTTTAAACTGTATGTGTATCTCGGAAGCTTAAAATATTGATTCGAGGTGACTTTCATTATCCCTTAGACTGTTGAATTGGCAATCTTTATTATACACTAAATCAATTTGAATTATAATGGCTAAAAACTTTTACAGCACAATCGTACCACCAAATTATTAAGGAGTGTTTCGCCAAAGTGAGCGATAAAAATAAGCACCAAAATATAATTAATGGTAATTAATAAAATGTATTGAACCTAAAATAGCGTATAATATTGACTAGTTGAGATTAATTATTTGGTAGATGGAAATGCATTCACTACAACTGCCGATATATGTCCTTCTTTTATTTTCTTTTATAACGCGTCCTTGATCATTCGGACGATTTAAGAAAACAAAGCCATATAGATGGAAGGCGGGAAAGATGAGATAGAAAGACAAGAGATGCGGGCAACCTGTTGCTCGGCATTTAGGAAGATTACACAAATAGTAAATACAACTTACGATAAGGAATTTTAAGGTTTTTTTTTCATTTCTTTTCATGAATAATTAGAGATAGCTGATAAGCAATTCTGACTCTCATTGAAATAGTTGTTTGAAGAATGAATGAAATCCTCTCAAATCTTCATCACTGAAGACTTTTTACATACGCCTGCACACTCGGAAAGGCTCTCTCATCCCAATCAAGATAATTGCTCCCTGCAATCCATCCCCATTCTCTGTTTCTCTTTGCCACCTTTCCTCTTCTCTCATTCGCGCTCTCAATCTTATTATTTTGTAGATATTCAACAGGTGCGAAACGAAGTAAGAAGAAAGACGATAGGAGTAGCGCTTAAAAGAAATGATGGAAAAGGGTCACTGAGCATCAAGAGCTTTCTCCTAAATTAAAGTTACAAGTACGACTCTACCAACAATTACATACAATCCTAAAGAATGATCAATTAAAGAAGCTTGTAAGAAGTTTTCAAAGTGTAAAGTAGAAAAGAAATTACGGTATATTATTTTTTTCAGCGCTGTGTACATTTTTATTTTCTTCGTTCAAATGAAAGATAATTTAATGCTCGTAGTTGAGTATTTATCATACTTGAAGTATTAGATAAGTTTTTTTACTACTAGTATTTAAGACTTTGTACTATTCATTATAACCGCCAACACATTTTTCTTGTATTAATTGCGCCATTACGAGTATTCATCATTTACTCAACAGGTTTTAATAAGGTATCGATAATTCTTTTTACAAACTTACGGCCCGAGAGAGAGAGAGAGAGAGAGACAGACAGAGAGAGAGAGAGAGAGAGAGAATAAATAAATAAAAGATATTTATTTGTTGATGATTGTTATTACTGTATTTTTCGTGAAAATTTTACCATTAAAATAGTATTATTATTCCAAGTCAATTAAAATATAATTACTTAACAATATGTAAAGCCAATGTGTACAGTCGCGTTGATATTCATAAATAATAAATTATATAGAGTAAGAATGTAATTGAATGGTATAATTTTCTGCTCAATTGACAGGGAGACGAAAGAAAAGTTTATCGACTCGTGGAAAATATAAGATAATAGAAAAGCTAATAAATTTGTTGTGTCGTGTCGTAAGGCACGAAACTAATTTGAAATTTTTCATTTACTTCGTCATTTTTTTCCTTTTTTTTTGTTGTTTTTTTTTTGTTTTTTTTTTGTTTTTGTTTTTTTTTTGTTTTCTGTTTTCGTTTAAGTAATCGCCAAAAATTATAGTGTTTAGAATGAGGTCAATTCCAGTGGCTCAATGCATCAAGACATAAATACATACACACGATCATCCATGAAATAAATGTAGAAATTTATTTGCCCTCGAAAGGTTATTCGAGTTATCTTTTAAATTTAATAAACAGGGATGCTTATCGCACTGTAAAGATTTATCTTTTTACGTACGTACATATAAAATAAAGAATCGTTAATCGTATGATTTCAAATGAAAATTGCAAGACGTTGTTGCTTGAAGATGCCGTAATAAATTGCTCTCCTCTCAAGTGCACGGGATTCGACTTCAATGGATATAACTAAACGCAAATTTCAGTTTTCTTAATATTTATCACCATAATTTATCACCATAAGTACGCGTTCCGTTTGATTTATTGAGATAAGACTTCGATTACCATAATAATGTAATATAGTATTTATATTATTAGTTAAAAACATTTATTTTACATGCCAGTTATGCTCATGCCTATTTTGATAATTCTTATAAAACATATGAGGCTTCTTAATTAAATTAGTTAAAAATTATGATGCATACAGCACTTTCATAAATCTTGATTATTTATGATTCAATAGCATGTTCATTTATTTTCTCACTTGCTCTTATCGCGTAATTCATTGATTCAAGCTCTTAAAAGTAAACGTAATTTTTTTATACCTCGAGTTTATACATTCGCAATTTTCTAATATCATTCTTGTAATACGTGTGCTACCGTATTATTTAACATTGGCATTTAAAACAATGTAATTAGGACTGATATTATCTAATTGTAATAAAATGCAAGAGAGGATAATAATGTTTCTCTCACGTTTTTAGGCTCAATGTATATATCAGTTATGAATGAAATGTAGGAGATTGTAGAGTTGGAAAATGTCTCGAGCTTGGCCCTCTTAATACTCAGATCACAAATATTTAAGTATAAATTTTCAAATTTCACTCACATTATATTTACTTTGATCGGTTAAAAATTACAGGTACTTTTTACCGTATAACAAATATATCCATTCAGTTCAGCTAGATCAAATTACATTTTTATCTTTAAGGGAATAAATATCACTTTCCTCGTTAGCGGTACAACAATCGCGACAAAGTTCATGCTTATTATATCATTAGAAGATAATTCTAACAATTATCTACCATCATTCGGTCAGTGAAATATTAATTTACTATTATTATCAATTAATAATAGACCTTTATCAGCTAGATTAGAATGAAATGTATAGCTTATTTAAATGTAAATCGATAGCTATGGTTTTAAGGGGAGGTAAATTTTTCGGCAATCCTCGTCAACTCCCTCGTTCACACTCACTCGAAACTTTAATGACATAAATATCGGCGCTACGGCGTTTACGTAAAACCAAAAGCTTCGCTCCTCTAATAATTATCTTTCGTCTCATTCACGACTCTATAGGATTCCCGTACAATTTTCCCAATCTCATTCTTAATCCCCTCTACTCTCTTTGAGAATATTTGTTTATATTAGAATGCAAACCTCGAGCGAGCAGCCTCCCACCCCCAAAATCTTCAATTAGCCTCTCTCGAGATAAGACTTTCTAACCGGGTAAATCTTTATAATCGACCTTGTAATTATCGAATCGCTCAAGCGAATCAGCAGCCTTAATCGGTGTCGAGGCCGCGCAAGGGATGCGACTGGACGAGAGAAAGCAAGCTCCGAGTTAGGATAGATAGAAGCGTGGAGATAAGCGCACCTTCGTGCCGCAGGATTCGTTCATGTACTTGAGGAGCAGCGCCGCGACGAAGGAGGCGATGTAGGAGGCGAGTGGCACTGTCGCGAGCGCCTGCCTCCCGCCGACCGCCGTCTCCTCGATGTAGAGCGGTAGATAGACCGTGGCGAGGGTGTTGAAGAGCCGGCTGGCGACGTAGAGCATCGCCACCCGGGCGAGGAGACTGTTACCGAACCAGTATTTGTGTCGGTTGGCGTCCGGTGCTCTCGATGCTGCCTCCACGCCGCCCGGCTTCGCGGACGCACTCGAGTCGCTGACCTCCAGGAGGCGCGCGTTCAGGAAGACGTGGAAGAGGATGGTCGCCACGGCGCCTAGGAGGCTCAGCACCACCACGATGTTCTGTAAGAGAATTCAAGGCGCCTTAGCTCAGTCGCTCTTAGGCTAAAGTTGAGACCCAAGCGCGGGGTCATATTCTGCTTTCTCCGCGTTTCACCAAGCTTTTCCCGTGCCTCTTTCTCTCTCTCTCTCTCTCTCTCTCTCTCTCTCTCT